AGTATAACCAAATTTGCAAAGCTGTGCTTCAGAGAAGGGTTACTGCCCTGCTCTTCATGGAATCATAGAATTCTCGCTGGGAGGGAAGTTGGAAGTCATCTAGTCCAACCTCCTCATTATATGGGTAGAAAACTGAGGCCCAGGGAGGTTGTGATTTGCCCAAGGTCACACAAGTAGTAAGATACAAACACAGCTCCTTTGACTCCAGAGTGAAGTTGCTTTTTCTGCTGGGCTTTTCATCAATCAATCAATAAACATTTATTAAGCACTTACTATGTGCCAGGTACTGAGCTTAAGGGCTGAGGATACAAAAAGAGGCAAAAGACAGTCCCTGTCTTCAAGAAGCTTACAGTTCAATGGGGGAGATAATACACAAATGAAAATATATCCTGTGACATAGGATAAATAGAAAATAACAGAGGGAAGGCAGTAGAATGAAGAGGGATTGAAGAAGGCTCCCAGTAAAAGGTGGGATTTTATTTGGGACTTAAAGGAAGTCAGGGAGTTCAGTAGTCAGAGCAGGGTAGGAAGACAACATTCCAGGCAAGGGGGACAGTCAGAGAAAATGCCTGGCCTGAAAAAATGGAGTGTCTTGTTTGTGGACCAGCCAAGAGTACAGATGAGAGAGTAAGGTGTAAGAAGATCTCGAAGAGGCTAGGATATGAAGAGCTCTGAATGCTAAACAGAGTACTTTGTATTTGCTCAGCAGCCTTAGTCCCAAATAGAGAGGACTCGTGAAATTCTGAGAATTCTTCGTATTTCTCTTAATGCCACAAGGGGTCATTTGAGAGGTGCCTGCCTTCACTCTCCCTGCACACAATCCCCCGGCCTTTATTATATTCTTTAGGAAGTCTGCCTTCTTTTCTGGTGATGGTGATAACACTTCACTCCTCCAAATGGAACAAGGACCAGTCTGAAACAAGTAGGACTGTGGGGATGGAGAAAATCTGATTGTGCTTCCCTTGTAATCTGCTACTGCTCTGCCGGTGACAGTCTCTGCTTAGTGATTTAGAACAGCCAAATCAGAGAATAGCTCCCAAATGTGGCTAAGTGGTGGCCCATGTCACAGAGCTGTCTGGCACCACGGCAGAAGTGACAAAACACCTCAGCAAATTACGGCTGCTCTCTCCCCCACCTCACCAATTAAATCCTCTCAATCCATTCTGTCTGCCCAGAAACCAGTTTGAGTTTCTTGCTAGAGAAAGAGCTGCAAGGTTAGATTTTTAAGATTCCCCACCTCCAAGACTATTTTTCTTTTGGATGTCATACCAGTGGATTTTCAGATGTGCTAGATGCCGTCTGGGGACCCACAGCCTCCGGGTGGCTTACCAAGAAAACAGGGCCCTGATATAGCTCCCCTGGAAATGGGGAGCATTTTTAGTTATCGGTGCATGAGGCCATCTTCTGGCTGGTAACTGTTAACCAAGTGAAGAATGAAGCAAAGATTTAACCGATAATTCAGTTTTCTAGATCAAAGCAGACCACTCCCTGGATGCTGGCCTCCCTTCTAATTTCCCTGATTTTCAAAGAATGAGAGAGCTCATTAAAGATAGCACAGTGTTTTATTCCCAGCTCAGGTGTTTAAGAAAGGTCTATTTAACTGAACTGGGATTTTGTTTAGGCTTTGATCACAGAATACAGGAAACTCCCCTGATCAGTCTGAAGTGGTTTCGGGCTGGTTGCATCTTCTTGAGGGGGGAATGGGATATATTGATGACAGCTAATTTTTTTGGATAAGGAGACCCAGAAAATCCTGTAAGGTTACTTGTCCCTAGGTCCAGGTCCTCAGACACAAAATCCAATGAGTACTTTTAACAAACAGTACTTTGTACGGAGGATAGATAGTACCATTTGCTAGGCAATGACAAAAGCCCTTGAGGAGCTAGGAGTTTACATTCTCTCCTCTTATCTGCAAAGTAAGATTACCCTGATGGGGGGGGAGGGAACGACTCAGTATAGATAGCAATAGCAAAGAGGGAAAGACAAAAAGCCCAGGAAGGCACCTGTAGGCCTAGTAGATTAAAAAAAAAAAAAAGAAAGAAAAGGGATTAAACTCACCAAACAAGATAAATCAAGGACACTAATTCTGGCCACTGAGACCCTTCTGACCCAAGGAGAACTGCTCCTTCAGAGAATCCTATCCCTGCCTATTCCTTAGGCCAAACAAGTCCTTGGGAATCTCCAAGTCCTTTCGGAAACCTGTTTGGAAAAACAATTTTTGAATAAAGGCATCAGAACCAAATGGTAGATGAGAGGTGCAGAATGACTCACACACACACACACACACACACACACACACACA